ACCGACCCCCGCGCCCGGCTGGAAACCCGGAGACTGAAGGAACTGGAACAGCCCTCGCGAGCCTGGCTGGAGGCGAACCGGAACCGGAACCGGAACCAGAACCAGAATCCGAACAGTTCCATTTCAAGTTCCAGTTCCAGGTCTCCGACTCCCCCACCTGCCTGGAAACCCAGAACCGGAATCGGAATCGACCGGAACAGTTCCAGTTCCAGTTCCATTTTCAGTTCCGACCCCTGGGGAACCGGAAGCGGAACCGGACAGGATCTGGAACCTGGAACCCGAACCGGAACCAGAACCGGAATCGCACCAGTTCCAGTTCCAGTTCCAGTTCCAGTTCACCGACCCCTGTGATGCTTACTGTTCCAAGGCGACCCCCAAGGGGAGGGCTCCACCAAGTAAAACTCGCCACGCCCACTTTTTGGAAAACTTGCATTGTGAGAGGGTTGTGTTTCTTTGCTTCTCGAAGCGTCCAAGACGGCCCCATGGGGCCTCCAAGATCGCCCCAGGAGGGTCCCATAGGACGGCTCCCGACGGCCGCAGAGCGCCACGAGAGTCGCCCCACACGGTCCCATGGAGGACCCCAAGGGGGGCCCGCGAGGGGCCTAATGTTGTAGTCTAAGATGGTTTTTCGGCGGCCCAAGAGGCGCCCGAGGTGGGCCCCGGGTGGCCCCGAGGTGGCCCACGAGGCGCCCCCCGCGGCCCAAGGAGGTCCCTGCGAGGCCCCCCTGCGAGGCCCCGAAGAGCAGCCTAGGGGCTCCCACACGGCTCCCTGGAGGCTGCAGCACGGCCTCCAAGAGAGGGGAGCGTACGAGAGGCGAGAGGCGCCAGGCGGCCGCCAAAGGGCGGTTTTTGACGCTCCGGTCCCCCTGGATACCTGTCGCTTGGACGACGACGACGACGACGCCTTGTTGCTCTTCTAGGATCGGCTGCGAGTAAGAGAGGCGATCTTTTGCAACATGTGCAGCGACATCTTTATTCGGAGCTTTACACACGTTGTGAACACCCCCAAACCGCCGCCCCACTGCGATCCTTTCGACTAGACGCAAGAGTGACCTTTCGCCGGAGTGACCTTTGGTGCGGGCACAGATGGGCCCTCAGATGGCTGAAAACGCAGCAGGAGCAGCGGCCTGCGCGCCCAGGTTTGGTCCCCCCGCGGCCCACCCAAAAGCCGCGCACCAAAGGTCACCCTTACCCAGGGTCACTCTTGCGTGTAGCCGATCCTCACTCTGCCGCGACGCTGTTCCGACGCCTCCGGCCCGGCTCGAGACGGCGCCGCGGCTGCCCCGGCCCGCTCCCGCGTCCGCCGCGCTCCCGGCGCGAGTCTTCAGCGCTGCTCCGGCCGAGCTGGACTCTTGGCCCCCGCGTCAGTGCTTTGGGCGCTCTCACTGGGAGAGCACTAGAACAAACTTCAGATTGACTGCGACAGTATCATGAGGGGAAAAAACACACAGACACAATTAATTTTCGATTCCCAGGAAAATGTGGGAAAATATGGGAAGTGGGGGGAAGACAGGAACCCAGAAAATATGGGAAACTATGGGGAATCATTTTATTTGTGTGTCCTGGGGCCCCTTCCCAGTAGCTGACAGGCTTGCACAATCCAGCGCCCGCCACCAAGCCTCGGTTCGCCCAACTCAGTGGGTGTAGACAAGGGGCCCGCTCTGGTTTCTCAATGCCCGAAGGATTTGGACTTCTCGGTGGGGTCCTTTGGAGGCTGCGAGAGCGCTTGGATCCGTCTTGTGGCTCCTCCGTGGGCCTCTTGGAGGCAGGATGGGTACCAGCTTGAACCATCTTGAACTATTTGGATCCATCTCGTAGGCTATTTTGGAGCATCGGAGACTCTCTCGGAGCCATCTTGGGCGACAAGTGTCCCTCTGGCACATCAGGGGCCCGCCCAAAGCAAACACACGGGAAGAGGAGTGTGAAGGGTACCCTTGCCCGAGGGGAAAAAGGGGGGAAGTCAAGGGCATAAAAAACGCCCCTACCCTGGTTTACGAGGCGCTGTGCGCTGAAACTCCTGTGGGCTGACAGGGTAAACCCTGCGTGATGTGCCGCGTTTCCTGGCGGCTCTCGGCTCTGGGGGCTCCCAGGAGGTTTACAGACCACGCACTTGTAACCCGGGGTAGGGTCGTTTTTTCCTCCCTCAACGAAGAGGGAAGATGTCGTTAAACCACCTACGCGCAGAGGGCTGGAGGACTTTCCGCCTTCCTTGCCTGGTCGAGAGGCCGCGGTGGGGTCAAAGATGGGGGTCAACGATGGGGGGCAACGATGAGCCAGCGACCTCGGGGGGATAGCGTGCAGGGGGGGGAACGAAGCGGGGTGAATTTGAGAGTGAGACCGATGTCGGGGGCCCAGTCTTGTCGCCGGCTGCACAGACGTGTGTACAATCAAACGCATACCCATATGTGGTTGTATATAGCTTTCGCAGACAAGCTGTGTAAGGATGCGCTGCAAAGCGATGCAGAACAATGCAACGCCATGCAATGCAATGCGATGCAATGGAATGCGCATCCAAGCATCGCATCGCAATTCAACGCAGAGCTGTTCAAGTCGACGGACTGGATGCAACGATCGTTAAATTGTCAAGCGCGGTACAGTCCAAACAGGAACTCTCGAAAGTTGAGAGTGCCGCAGGCTTTGTTTCGATAGTCTTTTGCGCGCCCGCGTGTTCGAGCGATTTGGAGTGGTTTCTAGTCGAAGGGTGGCCTACAGCAGGGATCACATGTGTATCGATGCCGCCATGAGGCCAAAGAAACCTTGTCGCATTTAGTGGTACGTGTGTTTGCATCTTTCTGATCTTCGAACATCTGCTCCATGCGTTCACTCGTCATTATTGAGTAGACTTGCTGTGTGGGCATAGGTCCTGGCATATTTTCGTCACCAATGTGAACCCTTGTGCACCTCTACGTACTTTGGGTCTTTCTACGGTTGCTCGTCTTGTATATGTGTTTACATCTGTACATCTAATCTAAGAGATATATATACAGAGGTACGAGAAAAGAGGGACCGCCGATGGGAACTTGGGTTGAGAGGCGAGAAAACAGCGATGATGGGACATATTTGATCGAGAGCGTCCAAGCGATCACAGCGATAAGCACAGGATTACATTGTACATGGGACACGTGGAACACAGCGCGGCTGGAACGTAAGGCGAGCAAACAGCAGATGTCACGGAAATTCGACTTTCGTCGTCGTCGTCGGCGTCGTCGTCCTGGTCGCGGTCGTGTTCGCCTTATGATCCGTCGTTGTCGTGGCTTTGTGTCTCGTCGCCGTCGTGGCGCCCAAAGGGGGCGACCCGCGCCGCGAGACACGAAGGCGGGCGGGAGGAGGAGGAGGAGGAGGAGGAGGAGGAGGAGGAGGAGGAGGAGGAGGAGGAGGAGGAGGGAGGAGGAGGAGGAGGAGGAGGAGGAGAGGAGGAGGAGGAGGAGGAGGAGGAGGAGAAGGCGGCCCGCCGCAGGCACCAGAGCAGGGTGGGCCCCGACGGATTCGAGGCGGGCCCCCCGCCCGCCGCCCGTACCGCCCCCGTGGCTGGGCGGCTGCTCCTGCCGCTGCTGCTCCCGCTCCTCGGCCCTGGTCCTCCTCCTCCTCCTCCTCCTTCGCCCTCCTCCTCACCCCCCTCCTCGTCCTCCTCCTCCTCCTCCTCCTCCTCCTCCTCCTTCGCCCTCCTCCTTCCCCCTCCTCCCTCTGCCCCTCGCCCCGTCCAGCTCCTCTCCCTTCTCCCCTTCGCCCGTCCTACCCCCTCGCCCCCCCTGTCCTGGTCCTGGTCCTACTGCACCTGGTCCTCCTGCTACTCCTCGGGGGGAGAGTCGGGGCATGACACCCCCTCGTCCGATTCGATGCCGATTTTGGCCGGCCCGATCCGATTCGGCTCCGATGTTCCGACGGTCCGACGCGGCCTGCATGGCGCTGTTTTGCGTCCTGGCGCAGCCGATCCGATTTGGAGGGAGGGAGGGACGGAGGGAGGGAGGGAGGGAGGGTGGGAAAGAGGAGGAGGAGGAGGAGGAGGAGGAGGAGGAGGAGGAGGAGGAGGAGGAGGAGGAGGGTGAGGAGGAGGAGGAGGAAGATGATGAGCAGGAGGAGGGTCGAGGAGGAGGAGGAGGAGGAGGAGGAGGAGGAGGAGGAGGGAGGAGGAAGGGGGGAGGAGGAGGAGGAGGAGGAGGAGGAAAAGGAAGAGAAGGAGGAGGAGGAGGCGGATCATGATGATGCTGCCGCTGATGATGATGATGATGATGATGGTGGTGATGATGCTGATGATGATTATGATGCTGATGCTGATGATGATGACGATGATGACGATGATGATGATGCTTATGATGATGATACTGATGCTGATGGTGATGATGCTGATGATGATGATTATGGTGATGCTGCTGCTGATGATGCTGCTGCTGCTGATGATGATGATGAAGATGAACATGATGATGATGACGATGATGATGATGATGATGGTGGTGGTGGTGATGATGCTGGTGATGCTGATGATGGTGACGATGATGACGATGCTGATGCTGCTTATGATGATGATACTGATGCTGATGCTGATGATGTTGATGATGGTGATGATGAAGATGATGATGCTGATGATGATGATGCTGATGCTGCTGCTGCTGATGATGATAATGATGATGATGATGGTGATGGTGGTCGTGGTGGTGATGACGATGATGATGAGGAGGATGAGGAGGAAGAGGTGGGTGATGAGGAGGAGGAGGAGGAGGAGGAGGAGGAGGATGAGGAGAAAGAGAAGTGGAAGAGGAGGTCGAGGAGTAGGAGGAGGAGGCGGAGGAGGAGGAGGAGGTCGAGTAGAAGGTTGGATGAGGAGGATGCGGTCAGAGAAAGCGGATGATGGAACGCCCGAGGCGGACGAGGAGGTGCAGGAGAAGCAGGGCTTGGGACTACCAACCCTTCTTGACCACCGCTGCCTCGGCTGCTCAGGCCGCGCCTCTGAGTCACGCTAGGGATTTGTGGGTTTCGAGCCTCGGCGCGCACGGAGAGCAGCGATGGTGCAGCGCCTGACGTACCGTAAGCACATCCGCTACAACACCAAGGGCAACAAGCAGAGGAAGGCGATTGCATTGCTCCCACCCCTCGCGAGGAGGATGTGGCGCGAGGAGGGGGGAAGAGGGCGGTACTAGCGTCAGAGGAGGAACATTTCCTGAAAGTGCACAGGGGCATGACCCACCGGAGTCGACACTTGGTGTCGCCCTCCTGACGGAATGTGGGTGTGGACGTGTTTTTCATGGGTTTCTTCTGTGTGCTCCCTTCCCTCTCTGCTTCCTCCTCGCTCGCCTCTCTCGTCCCTCGCCCCCTCGAAGTTCCCCTGACTGCGGTCTGCGCTCTCGCAGTCGTGAAATCTGGAATCTCGTGTTCCAGCCAGGAGAGCCAAGCAAGGTACCCGATCAACATATAACATGTTTTCCAACAGGAGCTGTATGAACACGATCGTACGTTATCAATCTTACTATGCACAAGGCTCGCGGCACCACACCAGTAGGCGCTTACAGCGAAACCTCGGGCACATCCATCCAATTACTGAGGCAAGACAAGTAAGAAACCCTAACTGCAAGCATGGTATTGGGGAATCAAGCAAGGTCTCCGATCAATACGCAGTATGTTGTTAATGAAGCTGTAGCAAGACGTTTGTGCGTTCTCAACCTCATCGTGCACAAAGCTCGCGGCACTGCACTGGTAGCCGCCCTGATCCACAGGTGCCAGCAGACATGAGCATGCCTTTGGCACCTCGGCGCGCACAAGCTGGCGGCAACGAATGATGGCGAGCGGCAGTGAACCTGATTCTATAGGCTTACGCCACATCCGCCGACCCCTCTATAAACTACTGCGCGTCCAGGACTGCATTCCACGACCGTATCGGAAGCAATTATTGGGCTTCTTGGGGGGCTCCTGGGGGGCTAATGGGGGCGTTTATGGGCCTTGTTGGGGCTTCCTGGGTGCTTCCTGGGACCTCTTTCGAGTTTCTTCGGGGCAACCTGGGGCCGTCTTGGAGTGGAAGGCTGGAAATTTCCGTGCTGGTTCCCACTCTGGGCTCTGTTTTGGGGCCGTCCTGGGGCCTCTTTGGCCGTTTAGGGTTTCTTTTTGGTAGTCTAGAGGCCTTCTTGGGCCGTCTTAGAACTCTCCTGGGGGCCCTTTGGGCCGTCTTGCGCGTACCGAACACCCAAGAGGCGGATGTGCTTGAAATATAGGTTTTGCGTAGGGAGTAGGGCGATTTTTGTTTCTGGAGGCCCTCTTGGAAGACCTCTGGAGGCCATTCTGGGCCGTCTGGAAGCCATCGTGGGCGTCTTGGAACGCTTTATTCGGCGACGATGGGCCCTGTGGGCCCGTGTCGGGGACCTGTTGGAACGCCCCAGGGCCTGTCTTGGAGCTCTGGGGAGGGCCAGACCCCCCCTGGTGAGTTCGGCAGGGGATCGTGCGCGGCCAAAGGGGGGGGGTCAAATTTCTGGTTTGGAGTCCCAGTGGGGGGCTTACAGGGGGGGGGGGAAGAATCTCACACGCCTAGAGACTCACAAGGGGTCGGCGGATTTACCACTATATTACCTTGCTGGCCATCCCTGCTTCCTCTTCCTCTGTCTTCCTTCCCTCGTCCGTCCTCCGTCCGCTGTCCTCTATCCCTCCCTCCCGTACCCTCCCTCTCCTCCCCTTCCTTCCCTCCCTCCCTCCCAGTGTGGAGATGTCCTTGTTAGGAAAAAACGGGAGGACCAGCCACAAAACCATTCTATCACCGAGCAACAGTGGCAATGTCTTTCCCACCGCGCACGAGGGAGGCATGGCGGCCTGCCGGAGAAGGAACCCGTCCTGCTCGACCTCCACGCTGCTCTGGCTGCAGACGGGCTCCCGCCGCCCACTCGGAGACCGCCACAGTGCGACCTGGATGGCGCTTCGTACCACGAGTGCACCGACGACCATGGAGCCAGCTGGGTCTACGCTTAAATCGGGCCTGCCCCTCGTCAGGAGGAATATTCAAAAATAGTAAACCAATTGTCTGGGGACGTTTTTTGGACTATTTTTGAAAATTTGGATATATTTTTTTTGGTATTTTTTTCATTATTCGTCGAACATCCGCCTGTAGGGGGACATGCCCGACCTAAGTTTACGCTGCAACCGACAGGGCCTGTTCTCACCAAGATTTGCCCCTCCTGGCCAGGGGCGGGCTTTGGCGACTCTTACGGCCCGATCCGTGGGCCAAATTTAAGTAGGGCCTGTCCCTCTACAGGAGGAACATTCGAAAATAGTCAAAGCTAGTCTGGGGACGATGTCTTGACTATTTTTGACGATTTCGGAGTACTTTTGACTGTTTCTTATTTTTCGTCCAACTTCGGCCTGTATGGGGGACAGGCCCAACCTAAGGCTGAATCACTCTGCCCGCGGGCACGTGCTGGCCCAGTCCACGCAGTGGGCCAAAACCCTGGTCGTGCTTCCTCTCGTCGCCGCGGCAGAGGGCCAGCTCACGTCTTGGTCGACAACCAGGCGGCCGTCGACGGGTTCGAAGACCTTATGGGAAAACCACCGCAGCGCGTGGGGCCTCAAGCGGGCCTTTGACAGAACATCCGTCGGGTGCTGCTGGCGAAACCCGACGTGTTCAAAGTCCAGAAGGTGGAAAGCCACCTGGGGGAGCAAAGCATCAACGAAAGGCGCATCTCTCCTATCGCTGGAACTTTCAACTGGCATGCTGATGAACTCGCCACCGCAGGGGCGAGGCTCCAGAATATCCCACAAGACGTTGTTGACGTCATCGAATGGTGCCACACGTTCGCTGATGTATTGCACAGCACGGCCGTGATCTGCGAACCTGTCGCCACTTTCGAGGGCTGCTGGTGGGTCCTGCGGAGTGAGGCACCGCGCGGATCTGAGCAAGACCTCGCCGTCCCTGGGGGGCTGCGATCTGCGAAACTGTCGCCACGTTCGAGGGCTGCTGGTGGGTCCTGCGGAGTGAGGCACCGCGCGGACCTGAGCGGGACCTCGCCGTGCCTGGGTGGTCGCGATCTGCGAAGCTGTCGCCACTTTCGAGGGCTGCTGGTGGGTCCTGCGGAGTGAGGCACCGCGCGGATCTGAGCAAGACCTCGCCGTCCCTGGGGGGCTGCGATCTGCGAAACTGTCGCCACTTTCGAGGGCTGCTGGTGGGTCCTGCGGAGTGAGGCACCGCGCGGATCTGAGCAAGACCTCGCCGTCCCTGGGGGGCTGCGATATGCGAAACTGTCGCCACTTTCGAGGGCTGCTTGGGCGGCCAGCGTTGCGATCTGCGGACCTGTCGCCACTTTCGAAGGCTGCTGGTGGGTCCAGCGGAGTGAGGCACTTCGCAGATCTGAGCGGGCCTTGCCGTCCCTGGGGGGCTGCGATCTGCGAAACTGTCGCCACTTTCGAGGGCTGCTGGTGGGCCCAGCGGAGTGAGGCACCGCGCAGATCTGAGCGGACCTCGCCGTCCCTGGGGGGCTGCGATCTGCGAAGCTGTCGCCACGTTCGAGGGCTGCTGGTGGGTCCTGCGGAGTGAGGCACCGCGCGGATCTGAGCGGGACCTCGCCGTGCCTGGGGGGCTGCGATCTGCGAAACTGTCGCCACTTTCGAGGGCTGCTGGTGGGTCCAGCGGAGTGAGGCACCGCGCAGATCTGACCGGGGCCTCGCCGTCGTTGGGTGGGTGCGATCTGCGAAACCGTCGCAACTTTCGAAGGCTGGTGGCGGGTTCAGCGGAGCGAGGCACCAGGCAGATTTGAGCGAGACATCGCAATCCTTGGGGGGCTGCGAGCCTCACGAATGCCGCTCGCAGAAGCATATGCGCCCATGTCACGTCATTACCTCCGTATAACGTCTCCCAAGCTACTCATGCCCCGCATTGCGCAGGGGTTGGGTACGTCGCCAGTTTTTATTTTTTAGTTTTTCCGTTTTTGTTATCGTTTTTGAATTCGTCGTCGTCGTCGTCGTCGTTGCTTCCCTGCTCCCTCTGTCCTCGCCCGCCTCTTCTCCTGCCGTCGGGGCCTCTGTTCGGAGCAGGGCTCCGGGCTCCCAGAAGTCCTCCGAGGCGGCGGCCGCGGCCCGCAGACTCTTTAGGGCAGCGCGCTCACGCGTCCAGGCGTCCGCCGCTTCTTCCCGGCCCCCCCCTCCTGTCGGCGGCGGGCCGAGGAGGAGGAGGAGGAGGAGGAGGGGGAGGAGGAGGAGGGGGAGGAGGAGGAGGAGGAGGAGGAGGAGGAGGAGGAGGAGGAGGAGGAGGAGGAGGAGTAACAGGAGGAAACAGAGAAACGCAGCAGCACCAGTGGGCGGCGAGCGAGGGGGGAGGCGAGAAGGGGCGGGCCTTCCAGAAGGTTCAGGAGTTCTCCAGCCTTCTGAGAAGTTTTCGAAGCCTCCCCCGAAGATGCAGAACACTTCTCGAGGCCCGAGGGCCTCTGAGCGAGAAGTCCCGCCGCCTTCTGAGAAGGCCTTCTCCTTCTCTCTATTCCCCCCTCGCTCGCCGTCGATCCTCCGACTGCCTGTTGGAGTATAGGGCGCTCGGGCATGATGAGCGCTGCCTCTACCTTTAGCGCTACAACGAGTCCCTCCGTTGTTGTATCGTACACCTTGACGCTTCGCGTGTTCTCACCAGCCAATCCAGCAGCGACGCCCAGGCGAATCGCATTGATCAGGGAAGTGCAGGAGCACGTTTGAACAAAGCGGAGGGGGCAGCCGTCAAGTAGAGGATCGGGATCTGCGTGATCGGGTTCCGGAGTCAGCCACCTGGGCCGTAGGAGGAGGAAGAGGAGGAGGAGGAGGAGGAGGAGGAGAAGGAGGAGGAGGAGGAGGAGGAGCCACCTGGGCCATCTTGGGCCCCCAATTTCTATCGGAGCCCTCTTGGAGCTCCTTTGGGTCCATTTTGGGTCCTCTCTGGGGCCTTGGGCGCCACGCTTTGCTCGACGTCGGAGGAGATTTTGGACCCTCGGGGGGCTCCCTCGGGGGGGCACGTGGCCACTGGAGGCCATCTCGGGAGGGTTTTGGGTTGGGGGCTCTTGGAGCATGTCCGAAATCGTCACCGCACAGACACGCAGCAGGGGTGGTGGGATTTCAAGAAGAGGGCAATGCGACGGGCGAGGCACTGCCTTATCTGAGTGTCCTGTCCGCCAGCGAGTCCAGAGGCTCTCTCTCTCTCCCTCCTGTGGGCGTGCAGATCGGGGGTGCCTCTTCTGAATCACCATGCCCTGCTCTGCTTCCCAGTCGTAGTCCCGAGCAGACCGCGCCAGGAAGGAGGTTTTTCTCGCCACCCCCTTATTCGAATCGTTGCGCTCTCTCTCTCTCTCTCTTTTTTTTTGTTTGTTTTTTTTTCTCTCTCTCTCTCTCTCTCTCTTTTTCTTTCTCGCCCTCCTATTCAGGTGAAGACGCCGGGTGGCAGGTTGGTCTTCCAGCAGCTGAAGAAGAAAGCGTCCCCGCCTAAGTGCGGCGACTGCGGCAAGGCGCGCCTTCTTCGCTGTCGGCTGCTCCTGTTCCGCCTCCTCGTCCTGCTCCTCCTGCTCCTCCTCCTCCTCCTCCTCCTCCTCCTCCTCCTCCTCCTCCTCCCCTTCGCCGTGCTCCTCGTGTTTTCCTCCCCTCAACCTCCTTGTCCCCCTCCCCCTGCCCCGTCCAGTCACTCGTCCCTCCTCCTCCTCCTCCTCCTCCTCCTCCTCTTCCTCTTTCTCCTCCTCCTCCTCCTTCCTCCCTTCCTCCCTTCCTCCCTGCCTCCCTCCCTCCCTCCCTCCCTCCCTCTCCTCCTCCTCCTCCTCCTCCTCGTCGTCCTCCTCCTCCTCCTCCTCGCATATCGTTCCTCCTCCTTTCCTCCCTTCTCACCGCTTCCTTCTTCCTCCCTTTAGTCTGTCGTGTTCGTGGAAGGCAGCACTCCTTCGGGTGCCAAGATCGTGCATCTCTCTAAACCCATTTTGGACCATCCTGAAAGGGAGAATCTCTTGCTGGACGTCTGCTCAGTCCCATGCTTAGCTTAGAACGCTTTGATGGCCAGAGGCTTACATTTACGACCTTGTTGCTCGCGTTGTGATTCCACGTCTCACGATCCTCGGGAAGCTACACGTCACCTGATTTGGGATTATCCTGCTACGTACCCATTCCAAAGGGTCTCTTGTCAATACCCACCCACAAGAGCCCGTCTGGTACCTAGGGCCATGTGTTTACGCTTCCTGCTGTTTGAGACTGCTCAGGACTGCATGGGCCCTCACCCGGAGCTATCAGGCGCGGGCTGGTTCGACTGTTGTTGCAGATGGAGTCTACCCAAAACTTGTGCAAAACTGGCTTTGCTGGTTTATTTTAGGCACAGTGCCCCTGGAGATGATCGAGGCTATCATGGTTATTCTGACTGCCAGTGCGTGGTAGATACCTGCTTCCTCCCTCCGAGTGCTTCATGCGCTGGTCTGTATGTACATGCCGGCCTTTGGAAAGCTCTAGACCAGAAAGTCAAGGACATTGGGTATGATTATATCCACATACACAATGTCACAGCCCATCTGTCATAAGTTGGCGAGGAACAGCCAGCCTGGTGTACTCGTGCGAACGCAGTGGCAGATACATACGCCAAGCGTGGAACCGCACTTCATGTAGTCCGTGGCGATGCCCTGGCGCGCATCACGCGCAGCCCAATAGTTCTAAGTATACTTGCTAAGCTCCTTGCCTATGCAGCGTCTAACGTCTTGAAGTTATTCAAGGCGTGCCCCTCTCTCCCTCTTCTCGTGGGGTCCATTCTCGGGTGATTGGTCACCAAGTGGCCTGAGACACGAGACCTTCGAGGTTGATGTGTATAGCTTGTTGGGCTTCCAGCAAGGATAACTTCGTGCTCTCGCAGGCTCAATGTCAAGCCCGCGATGGCCACGTGCTCAGAATATGCGCACAATACGTGTTCTGCCGAGCTTGTGGGCACTATAGTGCGACCAACGTCCACAAGCTGCAACATGTATGCCCAAAACGCGTATGTGCTGATATGACGAGGCATCAGGCTTGCACGTCTGATGAATGGCCAGGACCCCCGTACAGATCAAGATCTGGGGCGTGTTATTATCCCATGTCCGCAGGTTTTGATGATCTCAGTGGACACGGGTTCCTATAGATGTTGATCCCTGGCCGTGCCCATACTGATGTATTGTATGGCTCGGTTACCGGCTGTGCCGGCAGTGCCAGCCGTGATTCATTCCGTCTGACGCTTTATTCTTTGACCCAGTGCTTGCACCTTGCAGTAATCCCTGCTCTGTTTCAACTGTTGCCGCTCCCACGCCCGCGAACGCAGGCGAGTCGATGCCCGTTTCACCGTGCGCCGTCCTGTCGTCGTCTCGTCGTCGTGGTCTCTCCTTCTGGGACCGTTCCCCACGTGCGCGATTAGCCACACGCCGAACGCTGAGTCTTCCTCCCTCCATCCCTCCCTCTCTGCCTCCCTCCCTCTCCCTCTCTCCTGCCTCCACCGCCCTCCTCCCTCCTCCCTCCTCCTCCTCCTCCTCCTCCTCCTCCTCCTCCTCCTCCTCCTCCTCCTCCTCCTCCTCCTCCTCCTCCTCCTCCCCTCCATCGTTGGCTCGAGCACCCGTTGGAGGATGCAGCGCGCAGCCATCCTGGAAGCCTAAAGCCCCTCCTCGCCCTTTGGGCCTGGCGAGACCGCTCACTCCCCGCCTCGTTTGGAGCCACCACAGGCTTCCCTCCTAAACTTAAGTCGGGCACGTCCTTCTACACGAGGCATATTCAGGAATAGTAGAAACATACTGGACGATTTTTCGACCATTCTTGGACTCAGTTGGAGAATTTTTCGACTATATGTCATTGTCGGCCAAAAGCCGCCTGCAGGGGGACACGCCCGACCTCATCCTGGACCTCCCCATCCCCGACTGCGGCGCAGTGCGGGGGGCGGCCTCCGAGCCGCCGCCACCCTCGCTGCCCCCCGCGCAGCGCGCAGGGCCGCCCCGGAGCCACGCTCCGCCCCTGCGCGCGAACGTCGGGAGCGGAAAAGAGGGGGGTGATGACTAGGGGGGGGTGGATACCATGGCGCGGGCCATGAGATTTCCTCAGATTTCATGGCGCCTCTTCTTATTTCATTACGTCCCAGGCCCCCCCGCTGGGCCGCGCACATGCCGCCGGTCATGATTTGCACCCCCCCCTCTTGGACCCCCCTCTTGGCCGCTCCCGAGAACGCGCCCGCGTTCCAGCGCTCAGGGCGGGGGGCGTCGGCAGTGCCGCCGCTGCGCACGACGAGGTGGCGGCAAAGGCCTCCCACGCTGTCGACAGGCACGGGAAAGTCGATGTCGCCGTCATCGGGCGCCTCGTGGGCGAAGCCGCGGGAGCTGGACCGAAGCGCTCCACCGCGAGCTGCGCTCCTCGCGCGCCGTTGAGCCCTCGTCCCGTGCCTCGGTCACTGGCCGCCATCCACCCCGCTGACTGCAGCGCGCCCGTGTTCCTGGAGCTCAGGCGCCACGACGTGGGCGCACCGTTTCCCACTGGCCTCTCTCTTCACGAGCACGTGGAATGTGGAAGGCGAGCGGCGGCAGGCCATGGCCGTCCCATCTTGTGCCGTACTGCCGAGCACAGGGCCCAGGCCAGGCCACTTGGCAGGGACTGTCTGCCAGTTGGGGAAAATGAAGTTCGGTGCTCTCATAATGTGGCTGAGGTGCAGGCCAGGGGCACGGGCCAACCTCCGAGAGTTGCCGCCGCATGCTGCTATCTCTTCTACCTCCCCTGCGCGCAGCGATACGAACGTCGCGCCGCGCCAGTCGTCGTCGTCGACGTCGTCGTCGTCTTCCTCCTCCTCCTCCTCCTCCCTCCTCGTCTTCCCTCCCTCCTCGTCCTCCTGCTCCATCCTCTTCTTCTTCCCCCGAGACTCAGAAGCTCCTCAGATCCGAGCCTTTTCAAAAATGCCTTGAGGCCTCCTTCAAGATGGCCCGAAATCCTTCAGTTCAGTTTTTACAGCGTCTCCCAGGGGCCCTCATGTTTCCCACAGTGGTTCTGAAGCTTCTCTGGGAGGCTCTGGGGGCTCTCCAACGGGTTCCAGAGGCTGTCCGAGGGGCTTCCGGGGCTCTCCCAGATGTTGCGGGGCCTCTCCCAAAGGTTGTGGCCACTCGGGCGTGGTGATACCTAGAAGCAAGGCATGGGCAGGGCGATTGCGAAGGCGATGTGCCATCCAGGCTGGAGATGTTGAAGTGCCTTGGAAGAGGTGTTGTCAAGACCTCCTCGGGCGGGAGATCTGGCCAAGGGAATATTGGAACCCCCGTGCAAGAAAATATTCCCCATGAGTGGGGAGCTATCATGGTGGATGCAAGCTTCATATATAATGATAGAGCTTTCGGGCACACTGATTGTTGTTGCTGTAAGGGTTGGCACCGACAATGATGACGGTGATGCTGATGATGATGCTGATGATGGTGATGATGGCGATGCTGCTGCTGCTGATTGTGGTGATGATGATGATGAGGATGATGGTGATGCTAATGATGGTGATGATGATGGTGATTATGCTGCTGATTCTGATTTTGAAGATGATGATCAGGATGCTGATGATACTGCTGAACATGATGACGATTAACAGATGATGATGATGACGATGGTGATGATGATGATGATGATGATGATGATCAGGATGATGATGCTGATTATGATGATGACGATGATGACGAGGATGCTGCTGATGCTGCTGCTGCTGCTGCTGCTGATGTTGTTGTTGTTGTTGTTGTTGTTGTTGTTGTTGTTGTTGTTGTTGTTGAACTCTCATTTTTGAAAAATAATTATAGTTGATCCCCCCCACCGGTGCATACGTTTTTTTCTCAATCAAAGTGTGCCCCTCGACGCTGGCAGCCTGTTTTTTGACAGGGAAAGTCTTCCTGGTCAAAGTGGCCCCCTGGGACCCGGGTTACAACAACAACGGCTCCCGCTTGAGACTTCCTTACAATTTAGCCAGGACCCCCGCTCCCGCCCGAGACTTCATCGCATTTTATTCAGGAATCGCGTTCTCGCTTGGGACTTCCTTACAATTTATTCAGGAATAGCTCTCCCGGCGCTCTGGAGTCGCGCTCTCGCTGGAGACTTGCTTGCAACTTACTGAAGAATGGCCTTTCGTGGGAATTTCTTGTAATTTGCCCAAGCGCCGCGCTCCCGACACCCAGGCACCCAGGAGTCGATCCCATTGTGGCCCCATGTGCATGCCCTTCGTGGCCCCGCTGTCGCCATTTGTGCCCCCCTCACTGTCCTACGTGGCCCAGTTGCTACCCTCAGTGGCCCCATAGTTGCCTTCTGTGGCCCGCATTATCTGCACTTCGTGGCCCCCGATCGTTCGCGCTCACGCATTCCCTTCGTGTCCCCGCTGTCGCCCGTCGTGGCCTACTTCGTGTCCTTCGTGGCCCTGCTGTCGTTCTCTCTCGCTCTCGCTTTCGCTCGTCGTTGCCGTCGTCGTCGTCGTCGTCGTCGCCGTCGTCTTCGACGTCGTCGTCGTCGTCGTCGTCGTCGTCGTCGTCGTCGTCGTCGTCGTCGTCGTCGTCGTGGTCGGTCCCCTGTCCGTCCCTCTTCGGGTCGGGTCGACGGTCCGCGGCCGCCCCGCCGATCAGCGCTGCCGCTGGCCAGGGCGACGGTCTGCGGCCGCCCCGCCGCTTGCGGGGGCCCGGCCTGCAGGGAAGAAAGGTATACCCCCCAAAAGGGGTTCGATCGAAGACGAAGAGGGCGGGTATCGAGGATTTGGGAAATACGCATTATTGGACACTCGAGCATATAGGGGCGAACAGTCTTAAACTTATTGTTGTTGTTGTTGTTGCTGTTGCTGTTACTGTGTTGTTGCTGTTGCTGTTGTTGTTGTTGTTGATGTTGTTGTTGTTGTTGTTGTTGTTGTTGTTGTTGTTGTTGTTGTTGTTGTTGTTGTTGTTGTTGTTGTTGTTGTTGTTGTTCTTGTTCTTGTTCTTGTTGATGTTGATGTTGATGTTGTTGTTGTTGTTGTTGTTGTTGTTGTTGTTGTTGTTGTTGTTGTTGTTGTTGTTGTTGTTGTTGTTGTTGTTGTTATTGTTATTGTTGGTGTTGCTGGGGTTGATGATGTTGATGATGATGCTGATGATGCTGCAGCTGATGTTGTTGTTGATGATGGTGATGATGATGATGATGATGCTGATGCTGATGCTGATGCTGATGCTGATGCTGCTGATGATGACGATGCTGCTACTGCTGATGATAATTATGAGGAGGATGAGGATGAGGAGGAGGAGAAGGAGGAGGAGAATGCGAATCTGGCTTCGTAGCAATTTTGGCTCCATATTGTGACGGGCCGATCTCCTCAGCCTCTGGCGGCGCCCCCGCGGATGAGCACGCGCGTTTCCTACGAGGACGCCGAGAAGTTCCTCAGGAGATGCCGCGCCCGCCCCGAGCGGATGCGCGTCCTCTGCAGCACCAAGGCCTCGCGGGAGGGCGGCGACGAGATGGCTGTCGACGTGGAGGTGTCGCCGGGGGGCCCCGTGGTGCAGGCCCTCCTCCTCCTCCTCCTCCTCCTCCCTCCTCCTCCCTCCTCCTCCTCCTCCTCCTCCTCCTCCTCCTCCCTCCTCCTCCTCCTCCTCCTCCTCCTCCTCCTCCTCCTCCTCCTCCAACTCCTCCAACTCCTCCTCCCCTCCTTCCCCGTGGAGGTCCGCGAGATCAGCATGGCGAGGGGCTGGACGGGCTGCCGGTTCTCCCCCTCGGCGCTGTGGCTGGCGCTCGCCCTGGCCCGCCGGTTCGGCGGCGGCCCGCGCGGCCCGCCGGAGGTCGGCCGCGCGCAGAGGGGGGCGAGCGGGGAGGGGGACGGCTCCTCAGAGGCGCCCTGCTTCTTAGAAGGCTTGTAAGGGGCAGCCTCCTTCTAAGAGGGGGCTTCTGAGAGGCAGCCTCCTTCCAAGAGGCGGCCTCCTCCCGAGGAGCAGGGGCTTCTAAGAGGCAGCCTCCTTCTAAGGTGCAGGGGCTTCTAAGAGGCAGCCTCCTTCTAAGGAGCCTTCCCCCCTCCCCCTGCCCCCGCCTTTGCGCGCCGAGAAGGAGGGCGCGCGGCGCCAGAGGTCCCTCGAGCTCGGGTGCGGCGTGGCACTGGCCGGGCTCACCGCCCACGCGCTCGGCTTTGACACCACCCTCACGGACATCCTCGACGGGCATCTGGAGAGCCTCTCCAGTCGGCTGCGCGCATGACTGGCCTAGATGCTCGTTTTGGGGACCTCCCTCGACGCCAGCCAGTTCGACTCAAGTTCGACTCAGGTTCGACTCAGGCTCGACTCAAGTTGGGCTCAAGTCGACGAACGTTCGACGCAGCTTCGACGCGCTAGTGGAGCATCGAAACTGGCCCTTCGCCGGAGTGACGCTTGGTGCGGGGGGCCGCAGTCCCAGGAGGGCGAGTTGAGACCGCGGCAGTTGGCCTTCGGGGGGCCGATTATGAGCTGCCGTTGCCACCGCTCGCCCAGTTCCGACACAGGGGGTCCTGTCGGACGAGTCTATGACGGGAAGATGTATCCGTTGCAGAGCGTTCCGGAACGCTCTCAGAGCGTTCTGGAGCGCTCTGAGACGGCCGTTGCGCCCGAGACATCCTCCGGAGCCGCCTGATCTCAGAGGTTCCCGATTTCTTCCCGCCCGAAGTTGTCCTGCGTCCGGCGCGTGGCGCGAGCGAGCGACGCGTCCTGGCGCATGGCACGAGCGCTCTTGGTGCTCTTTCCAGGTTCTTCTGGGGCGCCTTGGGGCCCTCTTGGGGTTCTTTGGGAGGGTATGGGAGCCTTCTTGGGGCTCATTTAGGGGGGGGCGTCTTGGGGCCCTCCTGGGGGTTCTTTGGGAGGGCATGGGCGCCTTCCTGGGGCTCCTTTGGGAGGTCTGGGGGGCCTCCTTGGGGTCGTCCAGAGCGTTCGCCGTGTCTCGCCCGCGCGCTGCGGCGCGCGGCACGAGCGAGCGAGCGAAGTCATCCTACTCCTCCTCCTCCTCCTCCTCCTCCTCCTCCTCCTCCTCGTCCTCGTCCTCGTCTCCTCCTCCTCCTCCTCCTCCTCCTCCTCCTCCTCCTCCTCGTCCTCCTCCCTCCTCCTCCTCTCGTCCTCGTCCTCGTCCTCGTCCTGCGTCGTCGGTCCCCCCCCCCCCCCCCCCCCGAGCACTGGCCTGCGCGCTCGCACCCGGCGCCCCCCCCCCCCGGAGCCTTCGGTCGAGCGTGTCCCTCCCTACCAAGGGGGAGCGTACTCCTTAGGCGATGCTTAAGAAACCTAAGTTTTCGTCCAGAGTCTCGATTATTCTTAACTTTTCAATGTAAATCCCAAGATTTTGATAGAAGTTCTGGGTTTTATTCCATTTCTGAGACTATGAATTTCTTAACCCATGATTTCTTAAGCATTTCGCAGGGTGTATTCCAGATTTCGTAAGAAAGGGAGGGGGGTCTCATTTCGGGGGGGGTCTCTTCCAGGCTATCTTGGAGGGCCTGGGGGGTCTGGGGACGACGTTTTTGAGGGTTCTCCCACGGGGGGGGTCTGAAATGGCTCGTCTTGGAGGGTCCAGACCCCCTCCCTTTTATTACGAAATCTGGAGTATTCGGAGACAGCGAAAAAAACGGCCCGGGGACGATTTTCGGACTATTTTTTGAATATTTTGGTTGAGGTTTTTTGTGACCTCCCTGAGGTTCCTCCAAAATCTGCCTGTAGGGGGACATGCCCGACCTGACTCGAGCCCCCCGAAGCCGCGCACGAAGTCGCTCCAGCCTTCAGCCACCTCCTGCGTGTAGCCGGTCCGTGCGTGCCTCGGCGGGCGCCGGGGCTGGCGCCGAGCTGCGCGTGAGGTGCCTGGACTCCAGGGGAAACGATAGGAGGAGGAGGAGGAGGAGGAGGAGGAGGAGGAGGAGGAGGAGGAGGAGGAGGAGGAGGAGGAGGGGGAGGAGGAGGAGGAGGAGGAGGAGGAGGAGGAGGAGGAGGAGGAGGAGGAGGAGAGGAGGAGGAGGAGGAGGAGGAGGAGGAGGAGGAGGAGGAGGTGGAGCAGGACGAGGAGCAGGAGGAGGAGCAGGAGGAGGAGGAGGACCAGTCGGCGGCGAGTGAGGGGGGGAGGTGAGAAGGGGCCGGCCTTCTCAGAAGGCTCAGAAGTCCTCCGGCCTTCTGAGAGGTTTCCTCCGAGCCTTCTGAGAGGTTTCCTGAGCCTTTCCGAAGACGCAGGAAGCCTCTCAGAACGCGCGAGGGCTTTGAGAAGCCCTGCCGCCTTCTGAGAAGGCCTTCTTCCTCTCACTTCCCCCCCTCGCTCGCAGCCGAGATAGGTAGGGAATAGGAATAGGGGAGATGCATCGACGTCCAATCGCCCATAATTGCCCATTGGGGTCTGAGAGCTTCCCCCGCCCAGAGCCGTGCGGAGTCGCAATCGGGGGCCTATCGCCGATCCGTCGGCGATGTACCGCCGATTCTGGGCCGATATTATGGAAGAAAGTGGCCGGGGAGGCTTGTGCAATGGGGGGTTGTCCGGTGGGGTTGTCAGGATTTCCGCTTGGTTATCCAAGGGGCTGTCCCGGGTAGGTCGTTTTGGCGTCATGAACCAGCATTGGTTATCCGGGTTGTCCGGTTGTCCCGGGGGGTTGTCCGTTTCTTTTTTATTGACTGGATAATTCTTCCAGTCGAACCTGGCAAGGCGGATGAAGAGGGGGGGAACGGAGCAGGACAGACGATGCTGTTGGCTTGGGAGACAGCGCCTTCAGCAACCATCGATCTTGTCTCGGGGAAACGTAAGACTCGAGTAAGCCAGAACTCGGGTTTTCCGACGTTTTTTGACGAGCGCGTGCTGGATTTTGACGGTCTAGTTTTCGTGGGATGTTTGCGGCGGGAGTTCGCGTCAAATTTCAGATTGGGCCTCGTCATTTGTGTGATGGCCCCGTCAGGCCAACCCGAGTCCCCCGTACCTGAGTCTTACGTCTCCCCGATTGTCTTGCATGTCTGGCTGGGAATCCATTGACAATCGCCAGTCTCCCCCCCAGCTTCGGATGCAACTCCTGGGAGGTCAAGTTCTGACTTTGCCCTAGTCCGACATCAGGTTTAATCCGGCCTATTCCTGCTTAATCTGGCTTAACTCCGCTCAATCTGGCTTAATCCCGCTTAATCCGAGGCCTAATCTGGCGTAACAGCCCCCCAATGGGGCTGAATCCTCCTTAGTCCTTCCGACGAAGACCTCCCAGTAGTTGCCTCCTAACCCATCGTTGCCCCGCAGGACTGGCTGGAGGCGGCTGGCCGCCAGGGGGCGGCGGGCGTGGACTTCGGCTCGCCCGAGAACGTCGGCGCGGGGCACCATTGGGAGCGCCTCGGCGACGACGAGCGCCACTCGTTCGACCTCGTGATGGCCAGCGACGTCCTCTACGAAGCTCGGGATCCCGCGAAGGGGGGGTGCGCCCTGGTGTGTGTGTGTGTGTGTGTGGGTGAGTTCGATCGGCTTTTGCACTGAACCGCATCAAAACATTCGGATGCAAATCCTGCGAGGTCAAATTCTGATTTTGCCTTGGTCCGAAATCCAGCTTAATCCGCTTTAATCCCGCTTAATCTGGCTTAATTCCGCTTAATCCCGTTTAATCTGGCTTCATCCCGCTTAATCCGAGGCCCACTCTTGCGTAACAGCCCCCCAATGGGGCTTAATCTTCTTTAATTCTTCCGACGAAGACCTTCCAGTACTTGCCTCCTGACAAAACAGATGGCCCCCAGCCGCTAGCAGCTCCCGACAGTTGCCGATCTGTGGGGCATGCGGGGGGCATTTGTTCGCGGCAGTTCGGTGCACCGGCGGATCGAACTCGTGCCCCCCCTCGGGGTCCACCCGCCATTTGGCGGATCCCGAGAAGCGCACCACGCCAGGCTGCTGCCGCTGATGCTGGAGCGCTTCCTGCGGCCGGGCGGCCGGTGGCTGCTGTCACTGGCCATCCGCGACGGCCCCATGATGGCCGACATGCTGCGGCATCTGCACCGCTCCGGCGTGCTGGGCACGGCGCTCCCCGCGGAGGACCCCTGCCCGATCTCCTGGGAGACCGCCTGCGTGCCCGAGCGGTGCGGCTTCTGCGGCGGCGGGCGCGGCCGCCCGGGCCCTCCCGGGGGCCCGACGCTGGCGGAGCTCTGCGCGCTGGTCGAGGCCCACGAGGGCGGCGCCGTGCTTCTGGAGGGGCGGCGCCCACTGGAGCCGCACGGGCGGGAAAAGTAAGGTCAGGGCAGCCGAGCGGTGGAGCAGGCCCCCTCTTCGTGGAAGCCCGTCGGCGGGATCGGCCATTCGGCACCCTCCCCCCGGGATCGTGGCACGTGGCGTGGTGGAGCGAGGAGGTCGAACATCATGTCCAGAGTCGAAGAGAAGGCTCGGACCAACATACAGAGAGGCCTGCGCCTCGTGTTCTGCCTCTGTACCCCCGGGCCGCTCAGCCACGAATTGGTTTTGCTCCTCTGTTGACTCTCGCAAGCGTCTGGAACAACTCAGGAGGGACATATCACACATATGTGGGAAGTGGATGGGGAGAAAAAGGTCAAGAAACTGGACAAAGATGGAGAGTCCTGGGACTTGTGTACCTGGGCCCCCTCAGACGAGGGCCTGGGCCCCGGAGACCAAGACCCCCCGACAGCACACGGCGGGACGCGGCTTCCTTGTGCGAGGCGGGTCTGGGCTGCCTCCCATGAGGTCTCGACGACGACGGTGACGACGGACGGCGACCGACGATGACGACGACGACGACGACGACGACGACGACGACGACGACGATGACGACGACGACGACGACGACGACGACGACGACGACGACGGCGACGACGACGACGACCGACGGCGACGGCGACGGCGACACCGACGGCGACGGCGACGGCGACGTCGACGGCGACGACGGCGACGGACGACGGCGACGGCGACGACGACGGCGACGACACTTACGGCGACGACGACGGCGACGGCGACTGACGGCGACGGCGACGGCGACGGCGACGGCGACGGCGACGACGACGACGAATCGACGACGATGACGGCGGCGACGGCGACGATCGGACGACGGCGACGGCGACGGCGACGGCGACGGCGACGACGGCGACGGCGACGGCGACGGCGACGGCTATCGGCGACGGCGACGGCGACGGCAATCGACGACGACGACGGCGACGGGACGGCGACGACGACGACGACGACGACGGCGACTGCGACGGCGACGGCGACGGCGACGGCGACGGCGACGGCGACGGCGAGGCGACGCGACGACGGCGACGGCGACAGCGACGGCGACGGCGATGGCGACGACGGCGACGACGGCGACGGCGACGGCGACGGCGACGGCGACGGCGACGGCGACGGACGACGGCAAAAACGACGGCGACAACGACGATGGACGACGACGACGACGGTGACGGCGACGACGACGGCGACGGCGACGGCGACGGCGACGGCGACCGGCGACGGCGACGGCGATGGTGAGGGCGACGGCGACTGGCGACGGCGACGACGGCGAGGGCGACGGCGACCGATGACGATGACGACGGGGACGACGACGACGACGGCGACCACGCCAACCGACGGCGACGGCGACGGCGACGGCGACGACGACCACGACGACTTCGGCGACGGCGACGGCGACGGCGGTGACGGTGACGGCGACGGCGACGGCGACGTCGACGGCGACGGCGACCGGCGACGACGACGGCGACGGCGACGGCTACCGACGACGACGACGACGACGACCGACGACGACGACGACTACGACGGCGACGGCGACGGCGACGACTCCCAACGACGACCGACGACGGTGACGGCGACGGCGACCGACGACGATGGACGACGACGGCGATTACGACGGCGGCGGCGACGCCGACGACGACGGTGGCGACGGCGACGGCGATTGCGACTGCGACGGCGACGGCGACGGCCACGGCCGCGGCGACGGCCGGCGACGGCGACCGACGAAGACGAGGACGACCGACGCCGACGACGACAGCGGCTACCACGATGACGACGGCGACGGACGGCGACGGACGACAACGACGGACGACGGCGATGAAGACGATGACGATGACGACGGACGACGACGGACGACAATGACGGACGTCGGCGATGACGACGACAACGACGACGACGGACGGCGACGGCGACGGCAACGACGACGACGACGGCGACGACGGCGACGGCGACGGCGACGGCGACGGCGTTGGACGACGACGATGGACGACGACGACGGCGACGGCGACGGCGACGGCGACGGCGACGGCGACGGCGACGGCGACGGCGACGACGACCGACGGCGACGGCGACGGCGAGGGTGACGGCGACGGGACGGCGACCGACGACGACGACGACGACGGCGACGGCGACGGCGACGGCGACGGCGACGGCGACGGCGACGACGACCGACGGCGACGGCGACGGCGAGGGTGACGGCGACGGGACGGCGACCGACGACGACGACGACGACAACGGACGACGATTGCGACGGCGACGGCGAGGGCGATGGTGACGGCGACGGCGACGGCTGTGGCGGCGGCGACGGCGACGGCGACGGCGACGGCGAGGACGACCGACGGCTACGTCCGACGACGGCGACCGACGACGACGACGACGACGACGGACGACGACGGACGACGACGACGACGACGACAACGGACGACGATTAACGGCGACGACGGATGGCGGCGACCACGACGACGACGAAGACGATGGCGGACGACGGCGACGACGATGACGGCGACGAAGACGACGACGACCTCGGCGACCGACGGCGACGGCGACGGCGACGGCGACGACGACGACGACGGTGACGGCGACGGCGACGGCGACGACGGCGACGGCGACGGCGACGGCGACGGCGACGGCGACCGACGACGACGACGACGACGGCGAAGGCGACGGCGACGGCGACCGCGACGGCGATGGCGACGGCGACGACGACGGCGACCGACGGAAACGGCAGACGACTCCCAACGACGACGATGACCGAAGACGTCGACGGCGATGACGACGACGACGACGACGGACGACAACGACGGACGACGGCCATGACGACGGCGACGACGACGACGGACGACGACGACGACGACGACGACGGCGACGGCGACGGCGACGGCGATAGGCGAGGACGACGGGCGACGCCGACGACGGCGACGGCGACGGCGACGGCGACGGCGACGTCGACGACGACGGCGACGACGGCGACGGCGACGGCGACCGACGACGACGACGACGACCAACGACGACGACGGCGACGGCGACGGCGACGACAGCGACGACGACGGCGACGGCGACGGCGACGTCAACGGCGACGACGGCGATGGCGACGGCGACGTCGACGGCGACGGTGGCGGCGACGGCGACGGCGACGGCGATGGCGACGTCGACGACGACCGACGGCGACGGCGACGGCGACAGGGACCTACGACGACGAAGACGAAAACGACGACGACGACGGACGGCGACGGATGACGATGGCGTCGACGGCGATGATGACGACGACGACGACTGCGACGACGGCGGTGACGACGACGACGACGACAACCACGGACGATGACGGACGGCGACGGCGACGGCGACATCAACGGCGACGACGGCGACGGCGACGGCGACGGCGACGGCGACGACGAAGACAAAAACGACGACGACGACAGCGACGACGACGACGACGACGGACGATGACGGATGACGACGTCGACGGCGATGACGACCACGACGACGGACGGCGACGGCGACGACGGACGACGAAGGACGACGACCACGGACGGTGGCGATAACGACGACAACGAATCCCACGGCGACCGACGGCGACGGCGACGACGACGACGATGACGACGACCGACGACGACGACGGCGGACGACGACGACGACGGACGACGACGACGACCAGGACGACGACGACGACGAAGACAGACGACGACGACGACGACGACGGCGGCAGCGACCGACGACGACGACGACGACGACAACGACGGACGACGACGGACGACGGCCACAGACGTCGGCGATGACGACGACGACGATGGCGACGACGCCGACGACGAAGACGGACGGCGACGACGGCGACGGCGACCGACGATGTCGACGACCGACGACGACGATGACGACGGCCGACGACGACGACGGACGAAAACGACGGCGACGACGACGATCGACGATCGACGACTCACGACGACGGACGACGTCGACGACGACGACGGCGGCGGCGCCGACGACTTCCGACGACGACGACGACGGACGACGACCACGGACGACGGCGATGATGACGACGACGGCGACGACGACACTTACGACGACGACGACGACGACGACGACGACGACGACGGCGGTGGCGAGGACGACGGGCGACGGCGACGACGACGTCGACGACGACGGACGACGACCATGACGACCGACGGCGACGGACGACGACGACGACGTCGGCGGCGGCGGCGAGGACGACCGAGGACGGCGACGACGACGGCGACGACGACAACGACGGACGATGACGACCGACGACCACGGATTATTGCGATGACGAGGACGACGATTTCGACCACCGACGACGAAGGCGACGGCGACCGACGATGACGACCGACGACGACGACGATGACGACGGACGACGACGACGACGACCGCGGCGGACGACGACGACGACGGCGACGACGGCGATGACGACGACGATGACGACGACCACGACGACGGCGACGACGGACGACGACGACGACGATGGACGACGACGACTGACGACGGCGACCACGACGACGACGCTGGCGGCGGCGGCGAGGACGACGACCGACGACGGCGACGACACCGACGGACGACGACCACGGACGATGGCGGTGACGACGGCGGCGACGGCGACGACGACCATGACGACGACGACGCACGACGACGGACGACGACTGCGACGACGACGACGACGACGACGGACGACGACCACGACGACGGACGGCGACGGCGACGACGGCGACGGACGACGACGGACGACGACCACGGACGACGGCGATGATGACGACGGACGGCGACCACGACGACCGACGGCGACGGTGACGGCGACGACGACTGACGACGACGACGACGGACGATGGACGACGACGACCACGGATGACGACGACGACGACGATGACGACGACGACGGCGACGACGACGACGACGACGGACGACGACGGACGACGACGGCGATGACGACGACGGCGATGGCGACGAGGACGACGACCCACGACGGTGACGACGACGACGACGACGGACGACGACGGACGACGACCACAGACGGCGGCGATGACGACGACGGCGACGACCAAGACGACCGACGGATGATGACGACCATTGGCGATGACCGCGACGACGACGGCGACGACGACGACGGACGATGACGACGACGACGACGACGGACAACGACGGATGACGATGGCGGCGATGATGATGGCGACGTCCACCGCTGCAAGGTCGACGACCGACGACGGCGACGACGACGACAACGACGGACGACGACGGACGACAGCCTCGGACGACGGCGATGACGACGACGAGGACCACGACGATCGACGTCGGTGACATG